TTGTTCACAACCAGAGCTGCCCCATAGAAAAAGAAGCCACTTCCTAATGGAAGAAACAGCCAGAGAGGAAGTGGTCAGGTAGAGCCTCTGTGAGACTTGAGGGCACCCCACTTCTGATGAAGACGGCCTTTGGTTGCCCGTGGTTGTAAAATGACACCTAATGAGGGTTTCCTATTTCATAGAGAGCAATTTAGAGAAGCAAGGTTTGGGGTGTATCCCGGAGTCAGATGCAATGGAAGATGTGTATGCTGGCCTTGCAACATGTATGAAATGTGTGGAACCAACTGTAAGGCTCAGGCCCTGTGGTAGAGCTGCAGAACGGAGCATGGTGAGATGGTAGCAAGAGCAAGTTGAGTGCTACACGGAAAGTCTTTGGACCCAAAGAAGTTGCTCTCCCACCCCGGCTAGCGTCGTTACTTAACAGATGGCTGAGCCAGTCTTGGTTCTAGGACATGTCTACTCTCTTTCTCCGGTCCTTACACTCTCAGTATCAATTCATGGTCCAGCACACTCGCCTGACCTGGTGGAAAGCCTTGTTTTTAGCTTCACCGGCCATCTTGTCCTCTGGAGAAAGTGGAACTCCATCCTTCACGTGCCAGGAGCCCCAGGCTCTCGATGGAGATTTTAAGCATGCAGGTCTAGGGCTTTGCTTAGAAATTCAGAGTGAAGGAAAGCGAAACCTTTTCTAAAAATGCTGCTGCTTCCTTGGTGAGGGGAGTTTCCGGGAGCCTGGGCGAGCAGGAGTAAGTGCTCCTCTCTAGCTCAGCGTTTTGGTGAAGCCCATGTGTGATGATACCACTGTGACCACAGAGGAATTTACCACAGGAAGTGTCCCAGCTGTTGCTTATTAGCATTAGAACAAATTACACAGAGCAAATTGTTAGCAGACTTGTTTCCATAATCTTTAACTGGTGGCAACAAGTAAGAGTGATCCTCTTTCAAGCAAATGCTAGATTTCCAAAAATCCAGCCTCCAATTGTCCATGAAGGGATCGCCTTGGAGTAGGACAGCCCTGGGAGAGAACAGCACTCTGGGAGCTAAGGCCCCAGAGCCCTCCGCAACGCGGCGGGCCCAGGCCCAGGATGGGCAGACGTGGCTGCCCAGTTACACTTCACAAGATGAAAACAGGCACGTCTGTGCCTCTGGCCATCTGACCATCTGCTGGGGGTTCTCAGGGTGGCCCTGTCGTGCCAGGGATGGGGGTTTAAAGCATATGGCGAGACCATGGGGGAGGCAGGCAAGTGTTCAGTCTTTAGAGTGTGCTTATGATTAAAAAAAAAAAAAAAAAAAGAAAAGAAAAAGAAGCAAGTCAGGTCCTGCACAGGTTTGTACCCTCCTCCTTAACAAAATGTGGCAGTTTAAAAAACAGTCTGCTCCTACCCAGTTCTGTGTCTTGTTACCTGAGGCTTACGCAAAAGTGAGTCACACCCCTTCCTCCTGTAGCTCCACTGGAGAAGAGCTGAGAAAGAGCCCTCCGCGATGGGTAGCAGACAGCGCGTGCCTGCCGCGTATGCTCGCGAAGATCTGGCCGTATCTTCAGAAAGAGAGCAGAATATTTTCATCCTCTAGGGCTTTCTGTCAATGACTAAATTCAAGTCCCCAGTCACTTCTGGGCATTTCTAATTTCCCCCCAGAGGCTGGACAAAATTCTCCTTTCAAAAAAATCCCAAAAGCTAATTTAAAAATAATTTTAATTAGAAAAATAAGATATACTCCATACAGAAATACAGACACAGGTCATTGCCACATCCTGGGTTGGGACTGTTAGAATAGCTGCTCTTGGATTGTTTTCCTGAGAAATTTATGATTTTGTCCTCCTTTTTCTCTCTCCAGGAAGCTATGCCCAGCCCTGTACTCCTTCCTCAGGGATTTAACGTCACAAGAACCTTCTCCTGAGGTTCTTCACTGTTTTCCTGCAGAAAGGAAAAGCCTTGCAGCTTTGCTGAAGGGAGAGGGTGGGGCCTGGTATCCTCTCTGGTGGGACTGAACAAGGGCTTCAGAACTGTGCCCTGCCTGGCGCTCTTCCAAAATGTCTCTTTTCTCTCACCTGGAAGCCTGAGCTTGAAATGTCCAGTTTGCTGCCCAAGGGCACAGGCCCAGAACCCTAGAACCCTCCAGGTTCCCCAGCTGTCTCTAGGGTACACCCTGCTGGCCTAAGAGAGGACTGCTCATAGTCACAGCCAGTGGGTGACTAGGGACTAGGGCCTGGAGACAAAGGCAACTAACATTTTAAACCAAACAAAGGCCTTAGTTGATATCCTCTCACCCACGCCCTAAGGCTCTTCCAATTGCAGTGTCAGGCAACACACACACACACACACACACACACACACACACACACCATCTTTTACCTAAAGTCTTCACAAAGGAAATAATGTGCTTCATAAAATATTTAAAATGCCTTAGGCAATAGAATTGTCTCTTGATTTTTTTTTTCCAAGTGTTTAACGTACAAGTGTAATTGGAAATGTTTAGAACATGAACACACACTTTAATTTGAAATTATGCAAAACAATATCACTATTCATTACAACCTGAAACCAAGCTACCACAATGGAATAACAAGCACCGTATCTGTCAGTGTGAGGCCCACGTAGCTCTCACTTGGGCCCGAATGACCCTGTGGGTGACCCTTTAAGGTCTGTTTGGAGGAAATGGTCTGGCGTGTTTTACAGTTGAAAAGTTCTTTACCTGCCTGGTTTGACAAGATTTTTGAGAGGGCTGAAAATTAATTATAATTGCAGTATTGCTATGATAATTTGGTCAGCTAGTTGCATTTTGGTACAAAAATAAGCAAAAGGAATTTCCTCTCCAGGTTCTTTTCTGTTACGGCAGCATTCAGTTTAAAAGTAGTGAGATTTTTCAAAAGTCAAACCTTAAATACCATGGCTTCGGCAATCTGGCCTGCTTAAAGTTCCACGCGGATGGTATGTCACCTGGGTGGCAGCAACTGCACAGGGACGCAGTGCCAGTTTTCTCCTAGACTTGAAACAGGCACGAGGCTCCTCCTGGAAAATAACCCAGGCATCCCTTTGACATTGCCTGGGGCTGATTTTATTGGGGCACCAATGTTCCTGTGTTTGTAGACAGGGAGGCCTGGTGAGCGGTATAGGACATTTTGAAAGTTTAATGCTGCAAGCCGTCAAAGGTGGCACATGCCCGCGGAGGCAGTACCTCAAGTGCGCAAGGACAGAGCCAAAGCCAGGGAGCGAAGGACCTGGGCTGCCGCAGGAGCTTCACACCCCACTGTTTTCAAGCTGGCAGTTCTGACTACGTAAGTGCTGGGCCTTCTGGGGGGAGTTATCCAACTTCAGGGCAGTAGTGAGCACTTACATTAACCAACCTTTGAGGGACAGGGACTGTTCATCACTTTAAAATCTGAAGATTCCATCTTAAGGCCTGATTCACATTAGTTTTGCCATGTGCTGAAACCAATGGACATTCTGCTCTGTGATACCCTGATCAAGCTCAATTCAGTAACTTTGGGACACTCTCTTCTCTGTCACAATCTAAATCAGCCACCATTTTTGTATCCAAAAAAGATTTTGCTATGATGCATTTTCTTCAGTGTTGCTCCTTAAAGTGGGCCCAATGGCATACCGTGGAATGTGTCTAATGGTCTTCATTTAAATTCTGACTGATTTATAGAGGACCGATCTGCAGATCTACCTAGGGCTGCCTGCAAGACCGTGCAGTTCCTGTGCCACATGAGGGCAGCTGGTCAAGGGGCGCAGGGACTTGAGATCTCATCCAATTCCACTTGCCAGCTGAGACCCCTTCAGGCTTCGTGCTGGAGGAAGCTGACTCTCTTCTACTTCACAACTGGGCCAGTGCAGACCCTGAGGTATTGGCGACTCTCACCTTCCCTTGGATCAAAAGGTCTCATCTCTGACTCTGTAGATATTCTTTAAGAGAAAGAATGTGCCTATGGCAAAGGTGAATTTGTTTTGATGATATGTTTCCTGTTTTAATGGGAGGAAAGAAAGAAGAAAGAAAGAAAGAGAGGGAGGAAGGGAGGAAGGACAAGGATACAAAGACTAGCAGAGAAGAGGCCATCCTCCTGCCTACTAAACTGTGGATTCATTATACTTCTCTGGACACAGCTGCGAAGGGGTAAAAAAAAAAATCAATTTTTTTCTATTACTGCATGGTGAGGAAGGAAACCTATTTGTAAACCGAATTAAACCCAATAATAGCATGTCCGTGTATTTGTTGAGGACTAGAAAAATTAGCCACAGATAAAACTACAGAACCAGCGATGTCATTAGAAATCAGAACTCTCCCATTTCAAAGCTTAGTGGAGACATTCTTCTTAGCTCGAGAAACACCCATGGCGAAATGACACTAAGATTCTTCAGCAGGCCAGCTCCTCGACACCGCAGCGACCCAGGAGGGGAAGGGCCCGTGAAGCCCCATCTAGGCAGCTGCCTTTGTGGCTTGTGTCAGTCAGTCACGAGTGGATGGGAGCGAGGACCCCCTAGATGGTGGCTTCTTCCCGAGTTGCAATGTGCGATGCTAACTGTGGGATAAATTCCCTATTTCTGTGTAAGCTGGACGTTGTTCCTAGAAGCCCTAGCCCAGCCACTGAGTTCTGAAGGATCCAGTGACTACAGTCAGTGGTCCCAACATTTCATAAACAATCTGCCCTCTAGTGGGGCAACACAGTACTTCGGATAACTAGAGAAAGAATCCCTCTTTTTCTATCAGAGGGAAAAAAAAATTCAAGTTTTCCGGACAGTGAAGATGAGGCGGTCATCCTTAGAGGTCATCTTCCGTGCTGAATCCAGCAAGGCTCATACTGAAAGGTCGCCAGGTCAGAGTAGAGGCGGGGCTGCCGTGCAGGGCTGGCAGCCCTGTGCCCTCTGCAGGGACAAAGTCTTTCTCCCAGCCTTTGAACACTCCAGGGCTCACCTAGGCAGCAGCCTTCCTTCCCCCACTACCTCATTACAAAACAGCACCCATTCTATGAACAACAACCATAGCAAGAATGTTAACAATAATGGATTTTGGGGTAATTTTTTTGGCAGGTCAGTAAAACATACAACCCTTTCAAAAAGAACCACATTGACTAAAAAGGCAAAGATACACATGTTTTATAGAAAGGTCAAGTCTTTGTGAGTGTTAATTTGAAGAGGAGACTGTGCTTCATGATTTAGCTGGATGTTGGTAAGGCAGAGGGTAATCTTGCGATCTGGTCTTGGGTTTTGCTTCTGTCTTTCGGATAATTTCAGAACTTGGCTTGCTTGAGTTTGTCAATGTGGTAGCAGAGCTTCAGGGCAGGTCCCAGCTTCAGGCCCAGGTACTTCATGATCATATCGCTTTTCAGCAGCAAGAGAGCATTACCGTCAATCTCCTGGTGGGACAGGATCAGAGAAAGAAAACTCAGACAATGATTGGTGTAATCAAAAGGTGGCTGACGCTAACAGTGCTCAGGGCAGGTGGCTTTATTTAGAGAGCATATTTTCTTGGTCTTCGGGCAAGATCTCCTTTTTAAAAAAAGTTAAAGCAAAGAAATACTATGTGCACCTGTTCCCATCATCTCCCTGGAGTCATAGGCTACACTGGACCATTCATATTCCTGATAGAAGAAATCAACGTAACCCCACCTCTGATCCCAGCATCCCGTGTATAACATTTGTTACCCAAACAAGGGCTAAAGGAGTGAAAAGTGAAATCTACTAGACCCTGAGATGAGAGCTTGCCTTTTCATCTCATCCAAGGGGTTGGCACTGGGCTCTGACTCCCACCCATCACCCTACTCTCTTCTTTGTTTTTGTGGAGGCCTTCCTACCTTTAGCCAACTACAGAACTGCAAATCACACTCTGTGTTTCTGGCTCTGTCAATAATATCAGACAGTGTACACACTGCACCTGCTTTATCTCAGGGTTAGTACAAAGAAATAAGAAGGGAACGAGTCAATCCTTTGAGGTCCTAAGGTTGCTCCCTTTGTCTCTAAAAATAGTAACCTCCAGAATGCATGTGAGATTCATGAAGCTAGCCAGGCTGCTTTCCTCACTCACCACATGCTATTTTCAGGTTGGGGAAAGAGACACAGGGGACTCAGATCACTGAGCAAGGTTCACCAGCCACTCTCATCTATCCATCCATCTATCCATCTACCTATCCACCCATCACCCATAGATCCATCTATCTATCCATCTATCCATCCATCCATCATCCCTCCATCCATCCATCCATCTATCCATCAATCTATCCATCCATCCATCATCCCTCCATCCATCCATCCATCTATCCATCAATCCATCTATCCATCCATCATCTATCCATCCATCCATCCATCTATCCATCCACCCATCATCCATCTACCCATCTATCTATCCACCTATCTATCTATCCATCTATCCATCCATCCATCATCCATCCACCCATCCATCTATCCATCCATCATCCATCTATCCATCCATCCACCTATCCACCCATCACCCATAGATCCATCTATCTATCCATCTATCCATCCACCCATCATCCATCTACCCATCTATCTATCCACCTATCCATCTATCCATCCATCCATCATCCATCCATCCATCCATCCATCTATCCATCCATCATCCATCCATCCATCCATCTATCCATCCACCCATCTATCCATGCAGACATCACCCATCTATCTCTCTGTCCATCCATCCATCCATCCATCCATCCATCCATCCAATACTGATGGAGCACCTACTCAATATCACTTACTTTCTGTGTCTTTGATATAATGACAGGGGTGGGGGGAGCTCATCTGTGGGTCCCTCTGAGGAGCATCATTTCCTGCTGTTCCTTCTTTACCCTACCTCCTAGCTTCCCACTATCCCCTACCACCCTGGAGAGAAATCCAAACTCCTCCTGGCCAATCTGTCTAAGCACACTGTAAGGCAATGTTAAAAATATGCCTAATAAAATGCAAATGTTGAATTAGAAGAAGGTCCTCCCTGGATCTGACAGTATGATTTCTATGACAGAATTACCAAGTAAAATGAGGGGGAGCGGTTGGCTACAGTGACAGGCAGAATAATGTTCCTTCCCCTTCCTCCAAGACATCTGCATCTTAATCCCTGGACTCTGTGTTTAGGTGACATAGCAGAGGGGAAGTAAGTCTGCGGGTAGGAGTCAGGTTGCCGATCAGCTGACTTTGAAGTAGGGAGATTAAACATGGATTATAGGAAGGGCTGAAGGTCCTTAAAAGTAGGGGAAGAAGTCAGAAGACAGGACCATGGCGAGGGCAGCCTATGAAGGATTCAATATTACTGGCTTTAAAGCTGAGGGAGGGGGGAATACAAAGGAATGACTACAGGCTTGGAGCTGGCACAGGCAGGAATCAGATTCTCCCTAGCACATCCAGGAAGGAATGCAATCCTGCTGCCCCTGGGTCATAGTTCAGGGAGACCCCAGCAAGGCTCCTGACCTACAAACTGCAAGATAAGAACTTTGTATTGTTTTAAGCCATTAAGTTGTGGCAATTTATTATAGCAGCAACATGGAACTAATAGAGTAAGCTTGGTAGATAAAACACTAATTCTCACCTTTGTTTTTTCATTTACCATCTTTAATATATTTCAGAATTTCCTAAATAACTGTAACAGTGCCTGCTAACAGAAGGCTATCTGTAAGCCAGGCACCACGCTGAACACTTTATGTGCGTTTTCTCCTTTAATCCGCAAAGCAGCTGAGGAAGAAGCACTCTCCCAGTTTGCCTGGCATATTGTAGGTGTGCTATAAATGACTGTTGGAGGCACAGACAGACGGATGCGCAGGAAAGCAGGCGCTCCTGATGAAGGCCAAAATGAGAACAGATGGGACCAATATCCCTTACGAACAGAATCAAGTGGGTGTGTTGCTCTGAGAAGCCTGTGGTTGCATCTGTCATCCTCATCTCTGTCTCCCTCAAGGGTGCCCCAGGGCTCGGTCCCAACCCTCACAACTGGGGATCCTGAAACACCTCCAACCCCCTCCCCAGCCAACCCCACCGCACACTCACGTGCTTTCTGAAGAGCTCCACATGCGGCCCCAGAGCCTGCGGGTCAGCGTCCTTCACGAACCGGACCACGTCTTCCACGGTCCAGGTGGAAGGGTTTCTGGTCCTCGCCGGCCTGGTGTCCTGGCCATCTGCAGGGAGGCTTGAGGCTGGATGGAGTGAGCAGAGAGACAGAGGAGGCGGTGAGGTGTGGGCCCGCGGCCTCAGCGCCTACCTGGTGCTGCCCACCATTTCCAGCTGGGGAGGAATGGGTGAGGGGAGCAGCTTTGTGCCTTGGAGTCCAAGGTGGGGCCAAGTGACCTCTGGTGACTGGGAAGGCAGTGACTGGCTGCTTCGTGAGGAGCAGGGAGCCCGGGGCCGTTCCCATCTGTGCAGGAGCCCGCTGCTCTCCCAGGGAAGGAAGCAATGGAATAGGTCTTCCCTTCAGCGGGCTGAAGTTCTGATTCAAGTTGGAGTTTTTAAAACCGCCTTCTGTCGGTTCTGTCTCAGTGGGTCCTGGGCCTCCTGACACTTGGTGACCAAGGCAAGTAAGCCAAGATGAATGTCCAAGTGGGGCGCTGAAGGGAGCTGGGCGCTTGTATGACTTCAGGCCGTTTCAGCGCCATTGGCTTCACTCTGAGACGATGAAGACACATTTTGTTCTCATTGTTGGCCTCTGCAGAATGGCTAATCTCCCACCCCCACCACAGAACCCCTGACTAGGCGGGCTCCGTGCCTGTCTGAACACGCAGAAGGAAATGCGTCACCGTACTCGCTGCCCAGGCACACACGGAGGCCATCAGGGCCCTTACTCTGCCCCTCCCCACCGCACTGAGAGCTCCTGGACCGCCTGGGGCTGCCCCTGTGCCTGGCCCAGAGCCGCTCCTTGGGAACTGGCTGCATGAGCGACCCTCTCCTTGCGGCAGATGAAAGTGGTTAGGACAACGGCGCGGAAGAGTATCATGAAGTAGTTGCCTAGAAACAGCCAGGGCTCACCTATTCTTGTGCACACCCCAGACCAGCTCATCCTCGTCCGCAGAGCCAGTTCCTCTTCCTGTCCCCGCTGCCTCTACCTCCTCCCTCCTCCTTGCTCCCACACTTACTTCTTCTGCAGCACCGGGGAAGATGCCTCTGGGTGCTGAGCACCTTGTCTCTCTGCTGGATCTTGGCTCAGCACCTCTTACCAACCCCCGTGATGGTTTCCGATAGGTCTCCTTGCCCCAGACCTTCTCTTATTCAACAGCAAAGAATTGCCACCGGCTCCTGCTGCCCTTGGGACCCAGCTCTGTCTGGGGATGTCTCGCAGACTCTCCGAGGGTCCCCCTCGCCTAGGTATTGCACCTTAAGGTCAATGGCTGCCTTTGGTCTCACTAGTACTTTCCCTCCCTAGACGGAGGGAGAAGAGTTTTGGTGGCACAGACCTCCAGACAGATCCTGGAGCAGCTCCCTGCTAACGATCTGAGCACGCCACCTCGGTGTAGCACGACAGTGCTCCCAGCTGCAGGGGCCAGTGTGAGGACTGAAATGGGGGAGGGCCAGGCCCTTGGGCTGACCTAGGTCAGGCGTTTCACAGAAGGGGGGAGGCTCCCTGCCTCCTCAGTGCTGCCCTGTGCAACCTGGTTCGGCAAGCTTGCCATGGCCAATGTCTCCCCACCCCTTTCTTCACCCGTAGCTGGTGCGTTGGCTTCTGCCAGGAGACATGTCCCTCCCCCTGCCTCCCACAGAAGTCCCACTGACTGGCACAGCCCAGGGAACACCTGCTGTCTGCATGAGCAATGTTGCTGTCTCTCTCTCGCTGTCTGAATATCTTCTGCCTCTCCACTTTCACCCCAAACCATTATTCTTCTTCTGCGATGCTCTCCACACTCCACTTTGTAGACCAATTGTTTGTAGGCTTTTCTCTAGCTCACAGCTAGAGTTTAATTTCCTGAGAATTCCCCTGGGCTTCCAGAATTTACTGAGCACTTTTTCTGTACCTGGGCTTGGGTGAAGTGTTTGGTAAAAAATGAAACATGATCCTCTAGTTACAGAGGTCGTACATGACAATGCCTCCACGCTTCCAAGTAGAGTAAATATATTTGAAGTGTGTCTTCGATAGGTATGAAATGCATCAAGAGGTTTGCAGAAGCAGTCCAGGTAATTTACGCAGAAGCCTTGTATGGGGAATCTTTAATTCTATTTTAAGGCTAGAAAAAGGTCAAGGCTCTGAAAAGCGAGCAGCTTCCCTACAAATAATTCTAAATTAGAAGTTGAGAAGCCTTTGCTTATTTATTCTTCAGCCTCAAGGCAAAGTGGTTTTCTGCTGTCTCTTTCTGCCTCCTCTTTTTTTTTTTTTTAACTTTTCTATATTTATTTATTGGGATATGTTTGCAATATGTAAGATTTCCATCAGTCTTGGGGAGCTGGTGTACGGCCATAGCTTAACCATTTTTACTTTCCCTTCCCCTCCCTACTCTCTCCTTTCCCCTCTTCCTTCTTCCCCAGACCCCCTTCCCATTCCACAAATCTGCCTCCCTGTTTCCTATCGTCTCACTTTATTTTTCTTTTTAAATTACTTATATTTTGAGTTTCTTATATAAGAGAAACCACACAACCTTTAACTTTCTGTGTCTGATTTATTTTACTTAGCCTTACGATCTCAAGATGCATTCGTTTTCCTACAAGTGACTCAAATTGACCCATCTTCATCACTGAGTAGTACTCCATTGTGTATAGATACCACATTTTCTTTATCCAGTCACCTGTTGATGGGCATATAGGCTGCTTGTATAACCACTTTTTTTTTTGGTTTTTTTTTTTTTTTTGGTTTTTCTCCGGTACCAGGAACCAAACTCACGACCTTGCGCTTGCCAGGCAGGCGCTTTTGCCGCTGAGCTAAATCCCCAGCCCCTTAACCACTTTTTTTTAATGTACCAAGGCTTCATTAGTGCTGAGAAAAATACAGCATCGCATTTCCCAGTCTGTCCTAAATATATAATGGTTTGGTTGGGAATTGGATTTACTCTGTGATTTTCATTGCCTTTCCCTTATTGGACCTTGAAGGGTCCTATAAGGCGCTTTGGCATAGGGCATTTCGCTGGGAAACTGTTAATGCCCCCTAGAGCTGTCTGAATCCTGATGCATGCTTTTTTAAGATGATTTCACTCCATTTAAAGACATCTGCTCTCAACATAGGGACGAGGAATCACGGAAATCACATTTGTCTTTGGGGTCCACCCATCAGAGCACGGGCGTTAATCAGGGTGGTAATAGATGCTCTGACTACAAAGGCGGGAAGTCTTCAGTCCAAGAATGATTTTAGAATTATTTTAGAGCGAGCAGAGGTCAAATCTAATTTCCCTATTTGCCAGGAAGGGAAAAAAACCAGCACATTAATAGGATCATTTGCAAGACCCTAAAGCCCTTTGAGCGAGTTCAGGAAAATGCTTTCTCCTCAGCCTGAACATCAGGGCAGGCAGAGGGCTGGTTTGTCTTTAAGGAGGATGCCTTTGGGGGGTGACTGTGGAGGACAGAGAACAGAGAACAGAGTCAGGAGGCCGGCTCCGGGCCTACAAGCCGGAGCTCGTTGTGGGCATTTTTCACCTTTTTGGGACAGAGCAGCAGCCGCGGGTGGGCTTGGGAGCGTTTCTGAGTGGGCCTGTTAGTCATACAAGACAGTGAGCAGCAGGAAGCCCAACTCGTACCTTGGGACTTGCTGCTCATCCAAAGCACATAAACTCACACTGGAAGGAAAAAAATGGAACTTTCCGCAGCAGGTTGGCAAGCTTGTTACAGGGGTCTGTGCTCACAGAAAAAATAAACACCCCTCCCCAGCTGCTGCAGAAGTGTCAGGAAGACAGATGGGGCCAGACTGACACAGCCAGGGCAGCCGGATGTGATGGGTGGATGGCGAGCCACGACAGAGGGAACACATCTGCTCCTCCTGGACCCTGCGTGCGAAGCACTTGCCCCGCGCCCTGGGAGACGGCAGCGTTCTCCAGCGGAGACCCCTGTGTTCCGTCACATTGCTCCGAGGACTACAGAGACGCACAAAGCAAAACCCAGCGCTGAATGAATGTATAATTACATCTTGTTTCTAAAGCTGAACTCATAGTTAGCAGAAATAGAATGGCTGTGAGTCAGTGTTCAAAAGCAATCCCAGCCTCTTCCAAAGCACAAGTACTTGTACCATGTGTGCAAATCTCTCTCCCTCTCTCTGTCTTACACATACCCACAAGACTGCCTTTTGCTCATTCATAATTCAGGGGAGATTTTACTAACAATGAAGTCGTGGGGGAGAATGCAATAAGCGATGAGCCACATGGCAACGGGACCATCTCCGGGCTTCTCTGTGATACAGGAGGGGCCATTCCCACCACGGGCTGCTGGTGCAGAGGAAGTTACCTTTGCACAGTGTGTCCATGGGTAAAACGCACATCGGCCTCTGGTCACTTCCTGGCTCGGACATTCTCAATGGGCCTCGGTTTCTTCCTCTATCCATCGAGCCTCTCCTTTGTTGCTTCTCAAGAGTATTTTATGAATCAAGTGAGTGTGTGGCTCAGGGTTGGAGCCTGACAGCACCTTCAAAGGAAGCCCACCATCCCTCGCAGGCCTCCTTCAGTCCCCCTCGGGCTGCTGTCATCTCCCAGCCCCTCTCAGGCAGCTGGAGCTGGCTGGAAGGGGATTCAGAGATGAAGGGAGGGGAGGGAGGGCAGAGCCGTGACCAGCATCTCTAAGTGACCTGGTCCCTGTAGAATGCATCCTTCCTGGAAATGAGGCCACCAGGCTAACCTACAATATGGGCAAAATCAGGTGGTTTAAAACAGTGCTGTTTTCACTGTTTCTATTCTAGAGTTCCCAAGATGCTATGGGGCTGTCGAGAAAGACAGGACAGAGGAGAGAGCCTGGCCACTCCTGAGGTGTTTACACAGGGTTTTCATGCCAGCGTGAGGACAGAGGCTGCCGCTAGAGGTGAGGCAGACCATAGACTTAAAGTGGGGCGATGCTGGGCCGGATTCCCGCTCGGCCACCAGCAGACACTGTGACTTCCTATAAGCAGCACGAATTCTGCCAGAGCCTCCAGCCAGCCTTGGCCCCTTTCTCCTCCCCAGCCTGCTCCTGCTGCCCTTTCCATCCAGTGCCACTATCTCTAGGCTGGACCTCCCCCTGAGATACTCACGGCCGTCACACTTCTCCTTTCCAGCAAGAATTCCAGCTTTGATGAAATGTGTGTAATAATCTGTTAACGTCTGTCTGTCTGGATTTGCGCACACTCAGAACAGTGCCCATGTGTGTCCAGTTCACAGCTCTGTCCTGAGACCTCTGGCCTTTTGTGCTCTGGAAGCATCCACAGAGTAGGACCTCACAACCTCTCTGAGTCAGGCCCCTCAGCTGTACAACCACCTACCGCACTGGGCTGTGAGAGGATTCAGTGGGATAGTGCAGTAAAATGCTAAACAGCCAGAACGAACCACAACTTAGCTGCTTTCTTTTTCTTATACATTATTTCCCAAATGGCCAGTAGATCCCTCTCCTAAACCCCACGGCCATCACTCACTCCCCTGCTCAGAAATACCTAGTTTATGGTTACTGCAGACTAAAGCTTCATCTGCTGGACATGAATCCCAAATCTTCCAGCTCGATTTCCCTCACTGTCTCACACAAACGCTTCTCTCCCTAGAATGAATAAGCCCTTCCCATGCCTCCCACACCTGGGAGCACTGGCCTCATTCTTTTTCTAGCCCTTACCCAACTCCATACCCCACTGAGGAAAAATCTAAGCCGCTGGAAGCACTGGGGTTGTGATAACAATGTCAGATTTATTTTGTTTCTGGATCCTGAATCTTGAGCTGAGTTGTAGTTGGGAATTCTATAGCATATTCTGTTCAGTGCAAAAGTCAGGGAGCTCTTGCCATCTGAAACCTTGTTATAGCTCCTGCTGATTGTATCTGTCTTCAGTGAGAGCCAGGGAAGAGCCTCAGCAAACCCCAGGGAAATGTGCTCAGGAACGCAGTCCTTCAGAGCCCACTGGCAGGGAGATGGGGAGATCTATCAAGACCGCGGGAGGCCAGCGCGAGCATCCCACAGGAGAGGGAAGGTGGCTGAGAAATCTGCCATGTCCTCGAGGCCTACGCTCCCGCCTGCAGCCTCATGCTAATTTCTGGCTTCTGCGGTTTTAAATAATTTTGATTAACACCCTTGGGAGAAAATCCATTTCTAGGCTTCCTCCAGCATGTATGACTTGGGTCAAACCCTCTGAAAGAGGCATGGTTTCTTGATGCCAACTGATTTCACATAGGATGTAATTTCAGAGCAATGTTGAACAGGCCTTTGTAGGACCCGCAGTACGGCTGCAGGCAGGCAGGTGGGTAAGAAATGGGCAGGGAGGCCACTTTAGTATATTGCCACTCAGTTCCAAGTAGTAGAGCCCCTTGGTTTCCAAATTAATTTTTAGCTGTGCAAATTTTGTTCAAGCAAAGCACATAGAGAACCGCATTCTGAGCCAAGTGTGATGGTGCATGCCTGTAATCCCAGAACTTGGGAGGCTGAGGCAGGAGAATCATTTCGAGTTAGAGTCCAGCCTAGGCTACAAAGTGAGCTGAAGGCCAGCCTGAACTGCACAGTGAGACCCCATCTCAAAAAGACAACAACAACAACAAAAAAGAACTGCATTCTGCAGATGTGCAGAGGCCCTGTTTAAGAGAGGTGCAGGGGCCGGAACCCTGTCTGCTCTCATCCATTCTCCTCCACACACTAGGACCTCAGGGGGCCTCTGGAAACCCTTCACACATAGCTGGGAGACCCCTGGAGTAGTTTTGAGAGACAAAGGCTTTAGAGTAGGTTGAAGTCAAATCTGGGCTCAACACTTGACTGACTCCAGATCCTCACTTTCTTCATCTATAAATTGGATGTGATGCAGTCTATTTCTTATTGTAGATTACAAACATGTTAATTTAAAACAAATAATAAATAACATATGGAGAGTGCTCCCTAGTAGATGCTCAATAAAAGCAAGGCTCCAGCAGCCCCCTTAATGCAGGCTCCAGCAAGCCCCTTTGCTGAGGCTGTGGCAGATTCAAATACAAATGAGAGAACCCTCAAAGTTGGGAGATTGGGGCCCTAGCATGGGTGGGAGAGAGTCTGCATTATGAATGAGGGGCCTACGGGCCATACCATAGAAAGAGAAAAGAGGAAAATATTTCTAACCAGGGCTGTGGCTGAGACTGCCTGTGGGCATCCACTATCTTCCTTTGTAATAGAATCCCTGCTTTCTGTTTAAATTGTGTTTGCCTGAAACTGAAACCACATTTCCCAGCTTCCCTTGCTGCTTGTGGCCCTGTGACTAACTGGCCATTGGAACATAAGTGGAAGGGTAAAGCTCCCCCAGAGATGCTTGGCATGACCTCTGTCCCCCTTTCTTCCCACTCACTTCCTGTCTTGCTCCTGAGACTGTGCAAGGCGGAGCAGCCCCTTCCGGTAACCTCGGTGACATTCAGTGCTCTGTGCAAGGCACCGGATACATGGACACTTTGGAGCATGGAACAGTTCGTGTCCTCACAAAGGACAAATAATTTCATTTTCTTCCACCATATTACACTCACTTCAGTTCTTACATCCAACAGCAGCTTTATGCCAAAAGTAGCTCTGTGATTTCCAACATTTTGCACCCCGGGGGGCTCCTGCCTCTGCGAACAGCTCGAATGTTCAAGGTTTTAGGGAAGGGTCTCTTTAATTTTTCTAAGTTGCAAAAAAAGACAACCAGCATTCAGGAGAGAGCTATTGCTTTGCTTGCAGCAGGAAGCAGCAGGCGCTGGGGTGCTGTTTCTCTGATCTCTCCTGAAGTCCCGAGCGCAGGGGCTCTCCTGGGTGGGACTGGCTCCCGAGGACGGGGCTTTCTAGAGTCCAGGGTGCCCTCCAGCAGCTGTCTGGCAAGATTGCTTGGTGAGGTTGCGTTTCAGGAGAACAAAGAGCTGCTGCAGTGGGTGGAAAGGAAGCACAGGAGCACAGCCCGGGCCCGGCCAGAGGAGGCACTGAGGGGCTGGAGGCGGGGACTGCTCTGAGGGCCTTTGAAGGAAGCGGGATTCTCCTAACCAAGCGTCACAGGCGGACTGGGGTGGGGCAGATGACACACGTTTCTCCAGCCAAATCTGCCTCCCTCCTACTGCTAGAATCCTGCACTGAAGACGCACGGCCTGAGATGTTACCCACATGAGTGGGACAGAGAATTAATATCTCCTTTGTAAGAAGTGGCAATATCTTCAGGATTAGGCCTCCATTCAATCAGTGCAGTGTCTTGTGATCACCACCCTGAGAAAACTGGAATACAGTTGAGCAGAAGAGAGGGACAGAAAGGGACATTTAAAAGGCACAGGAAGGCCAAGGCGTGTGTTACATTACCACATCTGTTTGCTTCAAGAGAAGCCCCATATCTCTTGGGGCTGGAGGCTGGGGGCCTCAGCCCAGGTGCTGAGGAGCCTCCAGAGGGCACCGAGCCGATGCATGGAACACTGGTGGAGGCGGCAGGGCCTCCCCCAAGATGGCAGTCTCCAGAGTTCAGCTTCTTGCAGTACAGCAGGCAAGGAGGCAAAGAGCCCCTGTGGTGAAAGTCAGAGGAGCAGGGGTCCAAGCTGTAGCGGTTCATGCCTGTGGGGTTTCCCAGGCACTCGTCCATGGTGACTGTCTTGACTAAGCAAGAAGGCAGTGCAGAGAGTGGAGATCAGAGAGCAGTTCAGGCAGCTACCTGAGTCTTAGTCATGGCAAAGCCCACACTACTGCCTGTGAGGGCAGAAAGGAGGAGAAATGGACGCCACTGCGTTACAGACAGCACCCTGTCAGCAGACTGGACATCTGCCTCCCCAGTTACAGCATAGTTTGGTAGGAACTAGGAGATAAGTCCTTCCTTGCTTAGAAGAAGAAGTCATTATGTTGGTACTGATGACTCGGAAATGAAATCCAAGCCAAAGCCTCTCCCCCAGTGGCCCCTGCAGTAGTCTCTGCTGGCTTGTCACGGTGTCCCTGCTCTCTCCTCCCTTGCCTAACACCATTACTTCCCTCCTCTGGCCCAGAAACACAAAATCAGCTTAACGTCCAAAAATAAATTAATGTAATAACTATATTGACAGAATTAAAAAAAAGACTACATGAGATGCAGAAAAACATTTAACAAAACCCTATACCTTTTCATGATAAAATCACTGAACAAATCAGGAATAGAAAGGCACTTTCTTAACTGCAAAACTCTTATAGCTGACATAGCTAATGGTGAGAGATGGGATGCTGTTCCCTAAGATCAGAAACAAGAGAAAACAACTAGGTGAGAGCAAAAAAGATCTCTTATAGATCCCAAATCCTAAGGAATCCACCACTGGAACTAATGAATTAGTTTAGAAAGTTGCTGGATAATAAGGGATATGCAAAACAATCGATTGTATTTCTACACACTTTCATTGGATCATCTGAAAATGAAATTAAGAAATTAAGAAAATAATTCTTCTTACAATAGCAGTAAAAAGAATAAAGTACTTAACAAATTAAACAAAAGAAATTCAAACTTACACTCTGAAAAGCTATAAAATGTTGTTGAAAGAAGTTTTAAAAAGTATAGTGTTGTGGTTTGGGTCTAGATGTCTCCCCAAAATATTATGTAGTTTTAGGTGAGCCTTTTTCTGAGGTAGAGAAATCTAGGGTGTGTGACTGCTTTGTAGTGCAATGCTAGGATTAAGGGTGAGTGATAGCTGGATCAGTCCACTGATTGGATTGGCACCAGCCTTTTCCCAGCAGCCTGGATAGACTATAAAAGGGGTTGAAAGATGCTGTTGTTGCTTTTGCTGTCTTCCACTGCCATGAACTATTGCTCCTCTGCCATGCCACCCTGCCTTGAAGCCAGCCAAGGATGGACTGAAACCTCCACAAACTGTGAACTAAATAAACCTTTCCTACTTTAACTTTGGGTGTCAGATATTTTGTCTCAGCAATGAGAAAAGTGACTAAGACATATAGCAAAATGGATAAAGAAACATGTTCACGAATTGGAAGACTTATTAAGATGGCAATATACCCAAACTGTTGTATAAATTTGAAAAAACTGTCAGAATCTTGGCTGATTTGTTTAACAACTGATTCTGAAACTCATATGAAATTACAAAGGACATAGAAGAGCCAAAACCACCATGAAAAAGAACTAGAGTACTCCCACTTCTTGATTTCAAAATTACAACAAAGCAACAGAAGTTAAAACATGGATGTAGGGCTGGGCAAGGTGGGGCACACCTGTAATCCCAGCACTCGGGAGGCTGAGGCAGGAGGATCATTGCGTGTTCAAGACCAGCTTGGGCTACAAAGTGAGTTCAAGGCCAGCCTGAACTGCATAGTGAGACCCTGTCTCAAAAAGATGAAAAACAAACAAAAAAAGGATGTAATGGGCGCAATCATTAATGGGTGTAATCATGTAATGGGCATGAATCAGTGGAGTAGAATTGAGTCTAGAAATAAACCCATGTGTTTTTATATTCAACTGATTTTCAGTAAGCATTCCAAGACCATCCAGTGGGGGAAAGAACAGTCTTTTCAATGATGCAGGGACAGCTGGGCATGGTGTACACGCTTATAATTCCAGGACTCTGCTAGGCCTGAGTAGGAGGATCGCAAGTTCAAGTCCTACCTGGGCAATTTAGCAACTTAAGAAGACACTATCTCAGAATTTTAAAAAAAGGGCTGCAGATGTAGCTCAGTGTGAAGCCCCAGTGTCCAAGTCCTACTACCAGAAAAAAATAGAGGAAGGGGGAGACACACTGGGATAACTGGGATCCCTGAATATCCAGTTAAACATGAAGATAATCCCTTGCTTCTCTTATACATAAAAATCAAATCAAAATTACTAAAAACCTAAATATAAGACCAAAACCCATAAATTCTTAGAAGAAGAGATAGTGGGTAAATCTTTATGACCTTGGATTTGGCAAGGTATTCTTAGATTTGATACCAGAAACATGAGTGACCAAAGAAAAACAGATAAATTAGACTTCATCAAAATTAACCACTTTCGTGCTTCAAAGGGCACCATCAGGAAAGTGAAAAGACAACTCACAGATTGGAAGGAAATATTTACAAAATCATATACCTGATAAAGGGCTTCCATCTAGAGTATATTAAATAGTATTACAACTCAACACTTAAAAGAAAACCCCATATAAAATTGGACAAAGGACTTGGATAGATACTGTGTGTGTGTGTGTGTGTGTGTGTGTGTGTGTGTGTGTAAGTATATGAAAAACATTTCACATCATTAGTCAAATCAAATTAAGAAACACACAGGGACACTGCTTCCTACCCACTAAGATGGTTATCCTAGTGGATAACTATAACTATATCCTATTCCAGAAAAGTCAGATAAAAACAAGTACCGGTGTTGTAAAGAAATAAGAATGCTCATATACTGCTAGTGGGAATATACAATGGTGCAGCCACTTTGGAAAAGTGCCTAGTACTTCCCAAAACGGTTAAGGTAGAAATACCGAGGGAGCCAGCAATGGCACTCCTAAGTCTATATTAAAAAAAAAAAAAAAAGAAACATATGTCTGTACAAAAACTTGTATGTGAATGTTTACAGCAGCGTTATTCACGGCAGTCAAATGGGAAAAGCTTAAATGGTTATCAGCTGATGAACTGATTTTTTAAAAATGTGGTCTATCTACACAATAGAGTATTTGAGCATAAAAAGGAATGAAGTACTGATCCGTGCACGCCACAGTGTGAATGACTGTACCTTGAAATATCATGTGAAGGGAAAGAAGCGAACCAAAAGATCACATATTAAATGATTCCATTTATATGAAATTTTCAGGACAGCCAAGTCTTTAGAGACAAAAAGGAAGTTAGTGGTTGCTTAGGGCTTGACAGTGATGGAGGGATGATAGCTGAAGGAGATGTGGTTTTTAAAGCGACAAAAATATTCTACAACTGACTGGGTTAGTGACTGCATGTCTCTATGAATATGGTAAACACCCCAAATTGTATCTTTAAATGAGTGAAGTGTATGATCTGTGAATTATATCTCAAAAAGCTGCTTTAAAAAGACACTGGCAGAAGCCTAGTGTTTTGCAGCCTAGAGGCTGTGAACATTTTCAAGAGTTCTGTGCTGTGAGGTTTGACAGCACTGCCTGGGTCACAGGGACATGGTAAGGTGAGCAACCTAAGGGCCTGCGTGCTCTCCCCTGCCTCTTTATGGGTACTGAACTGCTGCACGATGTGTTCAGGAACCTGGAACTCTACACTTGTGCATCTCTTCCCTGTGGGTCAGAAGTCATCTGATAGCAATTACATAAAGAAGCTGGCTGTGGAGCAATGTATCAGCGCCTTCCTGAATGGAGAGAAAGGAAGAAAAACTCACATTTCTTGGGCACCTACTGTACACCAGCACCATTCTACAGCTGGTAAGCAAGAAGGCATGTGGAGGCCCCCGTTATTGGAAAGTTCTCATAGCCTGCGATACTGATCCTTCCTGTGCTCCAAATGGCAGATGCTTTGCTGCTATATATGTAAGAAGGCTACAGCTGTGTCTCCCAGGGGGCCTGGAATAGAGGAGGGGCTTGGGAAATATTTATTGAGTAAATATTTGGGCCAGCATTAACGGTAAGGCTGCTGTTACACAGAAGATGCATTAAAATTCATGCTGTAAAGGGCCAGCAGAGAAATTCATCATGTAGAATTGTGATAACAATGAAAAAACATTGAATGAGAACACTTACTCTAGTTACTACATATTTTAAATCTAAAGTAAATACGCCTACATAATTCTGATAGTGTAAGGTAGAGAATGCAGATCATTCCACAGCCTGCGCTCCATTTGGAGATGGGGGCCGTTCTGCCGCGGTGCAGCCTGGGAACGGGGACCCCGGGAACGTGCGCCTATTGGCGTGGAAACTGCTGGGGACCGCGGGTGAGGGCACAGGTAATAAAATCCAGCCTCTAGGCTGTAATCCAAATGAATTAATCAGAAGGTAAAATTGACTTCAGAGATCATCAAGCAATAACCTCTGCCTAGCGAAGGATGTGCCGGCGATTCCAAGCCTGCCCCAGTGAACAACCCCGGACAAAGCGCCAGGCCCCAGACACGGCTCTGTCGGGTGGCCTGGGGGCGTGGGGATGGAAACGAACCACCTGTTCGGCTGCACAGACTGTAGTGGCTTTCAGAGTCGAGGCGATGGATCTGTTCAAACCTTATTAAAGCGGCGTTTTCCTCGCATTTATAAATAGGAGAGCTGACACTTAGATCATAGCTGAGTGTGCGAACGACGGCTGCCAGGCTGCATCGTCACTGCTCTGCAGGCCTGGGGACCCTCGCAGCACCCAGCCCGGCGTCTCCTCAACTGTTAAATATGTCCCACGTGTGGGACAGGGCACAACTTTGGTAGAACACGGGTGTATTCATTTCCTATCACGGGACTCAAAATGGCAGAAATGCACCCTCCAACAGTTTGGGGGGCCACGAGTCTGAAATCAAGGTGGCAGCGCGGCCATGCTCCTCTCGAGCCTCTAAGCGGGGGAGCCTTCCTTGCCTCTGCCTGGCTTCCATGGTCTTCCCAGTTCTTTGTGTTCCTTGTGAGGACACAGCACTCCACTCACTGCCCGCTGCTGGTGTTCTCCCTTTGGGTCAAGCCTGTACCCAAACTTCCCTTTGTTTTAAA